GGCTGAGATCTCCATCCCAGTGTTAGCCTGTGTCATCCCAGCCCGCCTCCCTGCCTCGGCCCCTGCTGCCCCGGTGCTTCCTCTCCCACCCATCTTCCCACCCGTCCCACCACAGGCGGGACGGCTCTTTGACCATGGTGGGACCATCTTCTTCAGCATCTTCATGTCCCTGTGGGCAGTGCTGTTCCTGGAGTTCTGGAAGCAGATCAACGCATCCCTGGCTCATCAGTGGGACCGCTCTGAGTCCGAGGACGTCGAGGTGGGTTCTGGCCCTCCGCAGCACCTCCCGAAACCGCACAGACCAAAGCCACCGGGCGCCCCTGATGCCTTTCCCCCTCTTTCTCAGGAGCGGCCACGGCCCCAGTTCACTGCCATGGCTCCCATGACGATAATAAACCCTATAACGGGGGCAGAGGAGCCATATTTCCCCAAGCGCAGCCGCCTCCACTGGATTTTGGCGGGTTCAATGACCACTATAATGATGGTAAGATTGCGGGGGCTGGGACAGCGTCTGCCCAGCGTCCGTCCCGGGGCAGCGGGACATGATGGGACGGGATCAGTTTGGGGTAAGAGCATGGGTTAACCTGGGGACGAACACGGGTGTCCCTGACCCGTGGTGGAACCTGTGGCTCTCCGCCGGCTCAGCCCGCACCCCGCTGCGCCCAGGCCCAGCTGCCCACCCCGGAACTCCCCTGGGACTCGTGGTGCCTGGGTTAAAGGTCGGGTTTTCCTTCCCAACACAAGCTGCTCATACCCCACGCGCTGTGTTTGCAGATTGCCATGGTGGTGATGTTTGTGGTCTCCGTTACCCTCTACTGGGCAGTGGTCGCCATCCTCCTCTCCAGCTCAGGGTACTTCTGGTTTGTGGCTTCGGTGAGAGGTGGCCAGAGCCACTCCTGGACCTGCTTCGCTTGCTGGGCTTGCTCGCCACCCTCTGTGCTCTGCGTGTTGCTTCTCCCTGTAGGCATCCCGCATCGCCAGCATCACCGGCTCAGTGGTGAACCTCATCTTCATCCTCATCCTCTCCAAGATCTGTATTTCCCTGGCTCATTTCCTCACCAAGTGGGGTAAGCTGGCGAGGGTCTTGCAAGCTGGATGGTGACGGGAGGGAGTGGTCAGTAAGGGCAGAGCCCCAAACCCAGGGAAAGCTGGCCGACACTCAGGAGAACGATGGCTTTATGGAGGAGGGGAGAGCTGGGGAAACAAGACCTTCAGTGAAAAGTGTTTTGGCAGCAGAAAAAAAAAAAAGTATGAGTGTAGGGTTTCACTTCTGGGGGTTTTCGATGAAAATATCCAAGCTGACTTTTGAGGTCTGGGGGAGAAAAGCACATGGGATATTTTTGTTGTATTTAATGAGACACAAAGCCTGTTTGTACTGAGCAGAAGGGAGGAAGATTATTTTTTGGTGCAAAGCAGACAGGTGTCTCCAGGCTCTGGATGAGTGGCAGGCACCTTCACGGGTACCGCAGCAGGTTTGGGGACCCTGGGCTGTGGGGGGTTGGTCAGCTTCGAGCAATGTGGGGTGACTTCTGCGATGATGTGGAAGAGCATGCTGGAGTAGGGCCAGGTCCCCGTGCTTCCCCCTGGCAGAGATGCATCGCACCCAGACCAAGCACGAGGACACTTTCACCTTCCAGTTTGTCACCTTCTACTCCTCTCCCGTTTACATTGCCTTCTTCAAGGGCAAGTAAGGCCTTTGGGGGGGAGCAGGGGTCTTCCCCATCTCCTGCAGCCCCCGCAGCCTCCGGGCTTTGGTGCTGGAGAGTGCTGCGGCCATCATGGGCAAGGAGCACTGCGGCATGTCCCACCAGAGAGCGGGAGCCACGGGACACCTGGGAATGAGGGCAGTGCCAGCCTGCTGTGGGCTAACTGGTGCAGCTGGTCCCAGCCTGGGACTGGGGGCCCATCTCCATCAGAGGCACCCACCACCAGCCCTTTTGTCCCCCTTGGTGAGGGACAAGAGGGTGCAGGGTGGACCAGAAAAAGCCCTTCCTTCCCCGGGGTTGCTCCGGATGCATCCCTGGGCTCAGCCCCTGGGATCCCCGCTCACGGCTCTGCCGCGGCTCCTGCAGGTTTGTCAGCTACCCTGGGAACTACCTGAGTTTTCTGGGGGTCCGCAACGAGGAGGTGAGTGCTGGGTGGGAGAGACACCGTGCCGCCCCAGCCGGTGCCTGCTGCAGGGACGCCTTCCCGTGCTCGGGGCCCTCCCATCCCGGTGTGCCGACCCCGGCAGGCTGAGGGCCCCTCTCTCCCTGCAGCGCAGCCCGGGTGGGTGCTTCATGGAGCTGGCACAGGAGCTGCTGGTCATCATGGTGGGGAAGCAGATCTTCAACAACGTGGCCATCCCGTGAGTACGCCGTGGCCCACCAGGGCCATCGTGCAGCACGGAGGGTTCGGGCTTCCGTCGAGGGGGCGTTGAGCAGTGCCGGCTGGCTGCAGCGGTGGACATGGCCCCTCTCATCTCCCCAGGAAGCTGAAGTGCTGGTGGCACAAGAACAAGCTCCTCTCCACCAAGAAGGCGGGCGAGGAGGGGGGAGCTGGTCCTGGTGGAGCAGGTGCCCTGGGTGAAGGACCGCCAGCTGCTGGTGTTCCAGGGGCTGTTTGACGAGTACCTGGAGATGGGTAAGGACCGGCCTTGGGGTGGGGATGGCTGAAGCACTAGGAGAGAGAAAGCTGAGAGGCAGGAGCTGCAGAAACTCCACAGAGCAAGGGACCAGCCGCGGGAGCTTTTGCCCCGAGCAGTCCACGGGGGCTGGAGGG